ATTGGTTGCAATCTCCTAGCAAAAGTATGTGCTTTGCTACCCAAGATGTCATTCTATCTGTAATCTCTGCAATTAAAGGACGTAAATCCTTTTGTAATAGCTTTCCTGTAATCAATGAAACCCCAAGGTAACGAATTGGCATAGAACCAATTTTAAACCCAAATTTCTCAATAAGGTGCTTAATGTGTACATCATGCAACCCGCAACAAAATAACTCAGACTTGGCATAGTTGACATGCAACCTAGATACTGTATAAAATTGCTTCAATACATCATCTATAGCATTAAGTGAGGCTATACTCCCATTAGTAAAGACTATCAAGTCATTTGCAAAACGCAAATGCGTAAGGTGCACTTTCTCACATTTGGGGTGGTAGGCAAATTTCCCTTCAGTGGCAGCTTGATTAAGCGTTCTTGAAAGCACTTCCATACAGACCACAAAAATGTAAGGAGATAAAGGGTCTCCCTGCCTAACACCTTTTTTCCTTGGGAAATAGCCACACAGATTGCCATTAAAAACAATTGAAAACATAGGAGTAGTGATAATATCTCACCTTAAAAGCACCTAATTTCCCATCTTTACTCGATGTTCCTTCTGGAAAGATATAGACAGAGGCACCCTTCTTGATTAGATCCATGCATCTTTTACAACAGTCCTGTATGCAGAAGAACAATAGAATTTTAAATTCATAGTTTGGAAGTAAGAATGTCTTACTTACCTATTATAAGGCTAAAGTGCTACATATTGCCATGTGACCTTGATTTATGATAAGAATTAAACAAGCATCCATAACAACAACAAAGGGAAGGGTTACCAGCTGGCTTTTGCTATCCATTTGCTTTGGAGATGACACCAATCATAAGCATAGCCCATCCAATAATGGGAAAAAGAAATATTGAAGTCTTTCTTATGAACTTGAAGTATCTCGTGAGAAGAGTATAAGTGTCTAGAAAGCTCTGGTGGCTGGAAACATACACAGCAGGAGTGTCTGATGCATGGAGGCAGATTATCCAGTCCTTCAAACTCAATTTTAAAGAATGGAGTTACGGTCAGTAAGGCCCAAATTTTGGCAATCAAATGTTGAGTTTTTCTTCTGTGTCGATCCAACAAAAGCACGAAAGGATGGGCCAGCAGCATGGGCACAATCAAGAAAATGGCAGCAACAACAGTAACAACATAAAAGCATATTCCTCTAACTTGTGAACCCAGTTTGAGTTCTGAACCTAGTTTGAATTGTGCACTTTGGCAGTTGAAGATAGAAGAAGGAATTAAAATATGAAGCTACAAGGGTAAAAAGAAAAAAATGAAAATAATGGAATGAGCTATTCAGGAAAACCTGACAAATGATGAGCACCAGCGGTTCCAGTCCCAGCCAGTTCAGATCTCACAATTACACATCTGGGTATTTTGTCTTGATTAAGCAATTTACTACTGTTGCTCAACCCCACGCTTGGTTTAAAATAAGACCAAGAAACAGCATCATGAATTTTTATAAACTGCTGCAAAAAGAGAAAATTATGCAAGTATCCACACCTGAAACACAGAAAACCAAATATATTATGTGTCCACCATTAGAACCATTGCTCATAATTGTGCCAATATGATAAAAGCAACTTAAAAACCACTACCTAAAAAAAAAAAAAAAACTTAACAATCAGTAAAATGCACCCCTCCCACGTAACTTTCTTGAATGACCTATCTTATATTAATTTTGGTGAACTTACTAACAATAACATGAATACCTCCCAATTGTCTGTCTATGAAGAGAGCAACCAATATAAGCTTCTTTGCAATTGCAAAACTGTATAAAGTGAAATATAAAAATACAGCCGTAAGTCATCAGGCACAAAGTTTCCTAGTCACTTCCTCCATTTTCCCAACAACCAAACAGAAATCAACGGAAAAATGAAACCAAGCCAAAAGAATGAAAATATAGCAATAAAAGCAATTATAAAATGATATAATCCTCTCACGACAGAGAATTACCCACAAAGGAAGAAGGCGAAGCAAACCGACTGGTTTCTGTAATCTGAGAAAAAATTGCGGCACCCAGAAGACATTCAGAAACAGAAAATAGAGAAGACATAATAAACAGAGACAGACGCTGGGAGAGAGAGAGAGCATACAGGGAGGAATAGGAGAAAGGGAAAATCGAGCAGCGACTTCCATTGGAGAAATGCGGCAATCAGATCCAACGTACCCGCTGATCTCCAGCTTTCTCAGTTTGAATTTGCGGGCATCCAGACTGAATTTCAATTTTTCTGAGTCCAGAGTCTAGAACAAGGTTGCCTAATATATACTTTGAATATGAAAGTAGGGATCTTTATGATTGGGAAGCGGCTGCAGGCTGCTATTTTTCAGCCCAATTCTAGGCCTTCGCTTTCATTCTGGCGGCAGAAGCGAAGATGCTACCGTAAAGATTTATGTTATTCAGTTGCCATTGTCTCCTTCCTTCGGCAAAGTCTCTCAATAAGAAGTAGAACGAGGAAGATAAAATAATAATAACAATAATAATAATAAACATACTGAAAAATGCTGGTGTGGAGTCCGCGGTTGCTGGATTACATTTCATTTTTAGAAAAAAAAAGGTATTCATATTATAAAACTGTATTTTATTTGATCTTAAACAGTAAAATGATTACAATACAAACAAAAGAAAACTAATACATTAGGGAGAAGATGAAGTTGGTGAATGAACTAGACTCGGGGATGGGTGTTCTCGGGGAGGGCGGTGCCGGAGTTGACTTTTGCGACGTCGAGAGCAGAGGCCTCAGGCTTCTTCTTGGAGTACAATACCAAGTAACCAATGGTGGCAACAATGGCCAAGCCGCCAAGCCAACGGCCATTTTGCTGGAAACTGCACTAGTTTTTTACGCTGGTGAAGGACCTCTGATGAATGCCGTGCTGATTGGTCTGGTCCTGCCATTGCATAATCCTTTCTTCTGTAAGATCTTTCTCCTCTTAGTGTATCCATTGTATATTTTCTGGCTGTGCAGTGGAATGAAGTTTAGACGGAGCGATGAGGGTGGCCAGAAAAGTAGGAGGTGGTTTATGGGTCGATGGACACGTGGCAGATGCCCAATGACTACCCTGTGGGTCAATGACAAGTGGCAGCTGACCCATTAAGATTTCCCGTGGAGATCTGCTGAAAAATTTTAGCCAGAGAAGATAGGGAACCAAATTCATCCAAATGTTTCCGTGTTTACCAAAACTTGTTTCTTTTGTATTTCAATGTGAAATTCAAATGAACTTCACTACTGTTTACAGCTTACAAGGTGAAGAATACATGGGACAAGGGGAGTAAAACATCATACCACCATTTCAGCTTCTTTAACGTTGGTTGGGATCCCAATATCTAATCTCATTGTTGGTTTATATTGATCTGGCACTGTAGCCCCAGCCTGCACACAAATTTCTACCAGGGCTGGGGCTTGTCCATAGAAGCTATTCAGCTCCCGTTGCAATGGTGCTCCATTCACATCAGGAACATGCCAGACATATCTCGGAGGAATCAAGTCATCGAGCACTGCCGCCTGCCAACCATGTTGTCCGTTTCGTTGTTGGTGCTTGTGAGCTCCACAGTTCTGAGCTTTGTGTCCAGACGCACCCACATGCACCTCCGGGCAATATCCACAAACCCGCACCGGGTACATCCTCATTAGCTTTTTGGCTCCTTTCCTCATCTTCTCCCATGCTTCAAGTGTTTCCTCGGCTAGTAAGATTGTTTCTTCTTCGTTACAAGGGGGAATAATTTCTGAATCAGGTATTTCAGCTAATATTGGTTTCATGGGAGCTTCTGGGAGAGGGTCAGGCATTTCACTTTCATCTCCATCAACGAATTCACTTTTACTAATATAAATAATGGGTTTCCTTCTCCTCTTTGTGGGAAATTCAGGAAAATCGACACCAGCTTGGATGCACAACTCAACTACTGCTGGAATCCGAGGGATTGAGAATCTCTCATCATGACGAATACGCTTTTGAAGACGATCATAGAGATGGTAGGCATCAACTGGAAGGAGTACATCTTCAACGACTGCGTTTGTCCATTCATGGAGGCCCTTGCGGATAGAAGCATTTTGGCCCCTACATGATTTGAATGGATGTCCAACAGGCCCAACATGAATTTCATTGCAATAACTGCAAAAATAATGTGAGACTTAGGGTTAACAAAGAAAAAGAAATAAGTTTAACTGCATGTTAATACCATACAGTCTATTAAGAGCAAGCATTCAAGGGAATTGAGCAGCTGGATCTTTCACACAAAGTAGGATCTAGGATTTCTCATGCAACTAATAAAGGTCGCTTTTCAACTCATCATGAAAGAGTGAATGGTTGAATCTGCACCAGTCCAAGTTGTTACCAATTTGGATAATGAAAGTTCTTTTCCCTCAATGCTACTGAAAGCACTTCATTGCAGAGAGAACTTGGGCATAATCACTTCAATATCGTCAACAATCAGCCTATAATTATTCTCACATCCACATTTAAAACTACATACACAAAACAAAAGCTTCACAAACAAAAGATCAAAGTACCTTAATATCTACCAAATAAGCAACCCAACTAGACTCTCCAGAAGTATCTCATTCTTCTGAAAGTTCAAATTAATGGGAAAAGGCAAACAGTTACACTGTTACAGTCATAAGATGTGGTATGTTTTAAGACAAGTAATGGGGGTATCTAGTTTCAATGCCAAAATTCTCTGTTTGAGCCAAGGGCATATACGACAACTATTTCTTGACCAGTGCCATACCACCAGTTGAATCAATAACAAAGAAAAATGCCGGTAATGGAAAATTCCTAAGTCCAAATGCAAGAAGACATTTTTATGTGGTTATACTATCACATTATGATGAGGGTTGAGACTTAGAGATATATTAGATGTTATCCAGACATTTCCAGAATGGTAGCCAAAGTACTAGAAGGAATAGGATATTACCTGCAAGCATGAACCTTCACCACTTTCAACAGCTTCTTCAGATTATTAATTAATGTAACCCTTGCATTCAATACATCATAGGCAATTGGTACCAGGCTTTGAACAACCAACCCATTTTTTGGAGGTGGAAACGGTTTCTTAGGTTGTCCTTTACTCTTCTTGGCCCTCTCCCTGGCAGCTCGCCTTAGCTCCAGTACAGGTTTGGGGAAGGGCTTCTTCTCCTTTCTTGAATAGTGCTGAGGAAAATCTGCATTCTGAGGATATTCACTCCTAACAACCAATCCATATGATCGACGCAACTTCCATGATGGAACTCTAGCCTCCGATTGAAGTTTGAGTCGGCTGCTACTTTGCTGGAGAAATTAAGAAAATCAATCAAGTTATTAAAGTCCTAGATGCCAATTTCCAATCATATGCATAAACAAAAATAAATAAATATATATAGTTCCAATACGGGAATATTTTGTATAATTTAATAACTACAACTATGAATTCCAGTGTACCGTACCTCGAAAGAACCAAGAAAGCTAATTCCTCCATGAAGGTTATGTTTTGGAAATTCTGATCTTGAACAGCATGAAACCACGGAGAACCCTACTCTGGGAGGCAAAAGCACCATTTTACAACTGGATAATGTTGGAGAACCATAACCCATACCTGCATCCAGAATCATTTAATTTGGAAACCCTTTTGTAAAAGATAGAAACAATAAACAACCATCAAATGGCTTCCACTGTCTAAAATCAAATCAAAGAAAAGCAACCATGGAGAACGGAAAAGCATATGAACTAATTTTTATTTTTCACAGAGAAGCTCTCTATGACACAAGAATGAACCAATAAGATATTTACAATAGAATACAGATTTTCTAAATCCCCAAATGAAATATAGAGAAAATTCCTAGTACATATCTCACCGTCAATTCCCATACATACATAACCCAAAACAGGAAGAGCAAGAAGAAACACTCTTATCCAGAACGCAGCAATGAGCAAGAAGAAGCAAGCGGAGAAAGCAGAACCAAAAAATTTCCATTTTTGGGGTGACAGAAGCTGAAAGCAGCTAGCTACTACAAATTCCGAATTTCGCCAATTTCTTTGAATTTCTCAGCTCAGTTAAATTCATCAGTTTAATGCAGCATATACCTTTTTATCTAGCGCATGAGAAGAAGTGAAGGAAGACTGACCTGGTTGATGAATTCCGGCGATGACTGTCGCCGGTGTGTGAAGCTTTGAGCCAAGACTTTGGAGGAGGGTAAGGTGCTGGCATACTGGCGTCTTGCTCTTCAAGTGCGTCTGCTTGGAGGCCGTAGTAGCCCATGCAGGTAACATTTGGGCTTACCCAATTTCTTGGGGACTAGAAAGAAGGAGCTATGTCTAGTCGAGACTCGAGAGCCCAAGTTGAAGTGGAAAAACAAATGGCCTAGGCCTGACCCAATTTCTTTTCAAAGAGACGAAGAAATTTCTTGGAATTTCCAAAATTATATTTGAGCATTACGTTTTTTTTTTAATGAGAATTTTATTTATTTATTTCTTCTAATCAAGGTTTGTTTTCTAAGTTCAAATCCAAAATACATGTTGGGTACATTTAAAAAAGAAAAAAAGAAAAAATTAGGGACTCAGTAGACAGGAATTAAGGTAGTAAGGGATTGGTCTCAAAAATCAGAATATCCGCAATCCGAAGCTTGGCATCCATGCCACATGCCTAATTCGTCATATAAGGTATTTTAATTTTAATTTCGCTAAGAAGGAAAACATCTCTT